AAAAGTAAATCCTTGACTACTGCTAATTCACGTTTAATCCATCCATAATAAGGGAGAGGGCACATCTGTTTATATCTTAGTTGATGTATCGAGGGGGCCTAAGTACATGGTTTCCAAGCTTTGCAAGTGGGCATGCTTTGGAAATAAGAACATCTGTTAACTCATTCTCCCATTATTGGTCCAGGTAGCTCGCAGGCCTCAGGAATCTAGTCCCCTTTCCATTACCAGATAAGCTTAAAGGTAATAAGAACATGTCTCCTTTTTCACATTTCTATATATGTCTCTAATGTTAAGAAGTATGACACACAAAGCTTACATTAGGATGGCATTTTTAGAAAACATAGAATGACTTCAGTGTTTGAATGTATGAATATCTAGAAACATTTACTTGTAGAGAGCAAATGTAGAGAGCTAAGGACAATAATTAATGTTTGATGGCATTTGTCTTTCAATATCTATTCTTCACTTAAGTAGAAGTTAAGCCTAGATTATTTATCATGAGGTACATTTTGGCATTCAGTAGGTGTCATGATAGCTACAGATTCCTGATACAACATAATTTAATTTATATGTAATACATAGTTTTATCAGTTATTTTAACCTGAAAAGACCTTATAATGCAACCCAATGAATGAATATAAATCATGGTCTGTGGGCCAGTAGCAGCAGCATGACCTGAGAACTTATTAAATGCAGATTCTCAGGCATGTCCCAGATTCACTGAACTCTGATGGATGGCACCCAACCAAGAAGTGTTTTAAGAAGTCTTCCAGATGACTCTACTGCAGGCTAAGGTTACAGAGCCATTGGTATCAAAAGCATTATCATACTCATCTTACAGATGATAAAATTGGTGTTTGACATGGTATGATGATAGCCAAATACATAGCTAGTTAACTTTAGGGCTCTTCGTCAATCCCAGTCTGCCTACTTCAAACCATGTGATGCTGGTTTTCAAGAAGAGTAAAGAAACAGTGAATTCCAAAATGCTGGAAAATTAACTCTTCAATGAATTGAGAAAGGGACCATTTCACTCCTTTCAAATAATGAGAGTGGCTTGTTAAAGCTATTAACACAAGAAAATTAACCTAGAAAAAGTTTTAATGACACAAGTAACATTTCTGTGGTCCTGTGCATTGGGGTCCTCATTTTCTTTTTATTGGTTGAGAGATTAGGATATAGTGAAACCCCAGAGGGATGGCTGTTGCGTGTTAATAGAAATGGGAGACGCTATTTTAATCATTGCTTTTTAGTTGAATGAGTCCATGGATAGCTTTTCCACCCAGGTCTTTCCCATGCCACATTACCCACACTGATAGTGCCCTGTGGTGGTTTTGCTGCATACACAGTTTTACTTGCAGGCAAGAGAAGTTTCTTAGTTGTTGTGGTATCTTAAGTGAATCCCCAGGACAGCTGGAGTTAACTACCCTCTGTGATATGGCGAAATCATGCTTTCTCTGTAGCTAGAATTAGAAAAAAAAATGTTCATTATCTATAATATAAAAACTTCTATACAATGACTCCTGCTAAGATCTAGTTCTTGCTGAACTTAGTTTGAACTTGGTGTCTATGAACAAACAAGTTTAAGCCTATTGTTTGTTCAACTGGGAAGTATTTCCTTGAATAGAAGCTGTTGTATAAAATTAGATAAATATAGTATGTACTATTTTTTATTCTGCATACATATGGAGCATCATGAAACACACATGCAAAAGTGCCTAAACATGAATGTTACAGTTTTACAAATAATTGTGAAAAGGACTCTAATCCAGAAGTGATGACACGTCCTCTCTCAGTGCCTGTGCTAGGTATACTGACTCTGGCTTTCTGCCTAGTTTCTGCCTCTGGGCACTTGTATAGTCTTGTCATCTCTCTAGGACCACCCTCATCTCCCTCCAACACATGCACACAATTATAAGGCTGGAGAAATCCATGTAATTCTTGTAAATTGGTTAAAAAGACCCCACAGCCTTTTGTATCCCATTATCTGCAGTGCACTTTGAAGCATTTCAATATCTTACTGCTTTTAGAAAGTTAACATTATGCCACTTGACACTTACCAAAGACTTACATTAGTGCCTGCTTTTCTAACAGAAAAGAATGTAATGAGGATTTTTCCTTTTAGGATAAAATGCCAAACTTGACAATAGTGTAAATAACATCAGCATCGGTCTTGCAATAGCTGTTCTAGAGGCATCGCACACCCTGAGAGCAGTGAGTGAGCCTGCCAGCACCTTCCCTGAGAGCTACTCTAGGTAGACTCCTGCCAACGTTACATGCTTACATGACTTTAGGTTTCACATGTTATTTTGTAGGCCTTGGTAGGTTGTTTTTGGATCTGGGAATGCTCAATGACTTTCTATCTGAGATTATGCTGTTTCTTCATTTTATACCATTTATGCTTAGGAAAGATTTTTCTTCTTTTAAAGATTTGTTTATACTTAATTTTTTTTTTTTTTTTTTTGCATAGAAGGCCTGGGGTGTAGTCCAGTGCTGAGGAGGAGGAGAGTGGTGAGAGGATTCACAAGAAACAGAGTGGGAGGCAGTGCAGAAGAGGGGACAGGTGGATTTACTGAAATATACTGGTAATGGGAGCAGCAGGTGAGACAGGCAGGGTAGGCTGCACCATGTGGGTCAGCTCCCTGGCCAAGGGCTGAATTCAGGCCTTAGTGGTTGTTAACATTGATACTTAACTCCTAAGCCTCCACGGAGGCCCAATTTGGGGAAGATTTCATAGGCACACTCTACATTTAGATAGTGGGAGAAACCTGTACAATTGTGCATGTGTGTTCTTCAAAACAGTGATCTTATCTTTCATTTTGGTTTGTGTGTATCATTCTGCAGTTTCTATCCTGTACCTGTGACACTGAACATCAGTAAATATGCTTGATTGAATTAATGACAAGGATTTCCACTTGAATTAAACCTCAGACCAACATCTCTAAAATGTATTTTCATTTTGCCCAAATTTCCAACTCTCAGAAAAAGATGGAGACCCTAGAGCTGTCTATGATTCCTCTTCACTCTTTAGTCAGGTTCTACTTCCATATATTCACTCTGATCTTTGTTTCTAATATCTCTATCTCCTTTTGGTCTTCTGTCTCTCAAATATTCACTTAGTTCTTGTATTCTAGCTTGAATTCCAAGCTTGATCCTTTTCCTGTTTCCCCTCTTCAATCTATGTTTTGAATGTCATTGTGGAGATAAACCTGGAAAAATGATCTGCCTCTTCATGTCCGAGGGTTCTTTATGGATTTGCCTGAGTGAAATATTGTGCTCTATAGTTGATACCTTTCTTTTCTAACATTATAATCTACCTTCATTATGGTGGATGTTGAGGCCTTAGGAGAACTTTGGTACCAGTTATGCTGTCCTGCAAGTTCCTTACTGAGTTGCTACCTGGGAAGATTTCCATAGGGGCTATTTCCATAGTCACACAACAGAGGAATGGGTTAAAGAATGTGCTAAGAGGAAGGAAAGGAAATTTACAAAACCAAGTTGAGCAGAGGCAGCAAAGACTGTATGTTCTGAAGCCCACAGAGCAGTGTGCTGAGGCCATGTGTTCTGTTGTACCTGCTGTGAGTTTCTTTTCCCGGGTAGGGACTCTGCCTCCTCTTTGACCCTTATTACATGACAATCATGACATCAGTCTTAGATGGGGAAATAATCAGCACTTTTACACCAAATATCGACAGTTGGTGGCAGCTATTTGAAGTCTTTGCCTGGCACACCAGCTGCCAGCTACCCCTGTCTGCGGGGCTTGTGAGCAGCTGAACTGTCGTGCAGTGCCTCCTGCTGGTTTCAGGAATTCATTCCTCAGGCTCATTATCCAGAAAAAAAAAAAAAGCAGGTTCCTGACATAGGCTGGAGTGACTTTAGATGGCTCTGTTCATTGCACCACAGTCCTACTGAGTTGATGTTAAGAGTTCATATATAACTGGGTCATGAACTTGTTACAAATCCCATGGCTCTGTGTTCTAGTCTGGCTTTCAGCATTCACATCCGTCCACCCATATTCCTTTCTGTTGTCATCTCCCATAACTTTTCTTCATTTGTTCTGTACCCCAGGAATGGGATACTGACTATCCCTCCTATGAACCCCCTTCCTCATGCTCTTCCTTACTCCTAGATGATTCTTTAGCTTTCTCTTCCCTCCGGACCCTTCCTCTACAAGTGTTTTCCATCTGCAAGTGTTTAGAGGACATGCATATCTCAAGGGACTACCCAAACCTCTGATCCTTTCCTGGACAGATGTTTGCTTCCTCCCACTTTGCTTCTCAATGCTCAATAACTCCTTCCTGAACTTTTCTCTGAACCTGTATCGCTTAACATATACTTAACATACTCTCCCTGCTCTTACACATGTGTATGTCTTTAGTCTCCTATTTAATGGCAAGTCCATCCAAAGAAGTGATCATATCTTTTGTGTCTTATGTCCTAGAGTACCTTGCATATTACAGGTGTTCAGTAATGTTTAATGAATAAATGGAAAGATCAGGCATAATTGTGTCTGTAAATGTTTGAAATGAAGGGGTTAGTAAGTGATGCTAATCCATCTCTTTACTTTGTCCAACTGAACTGGTATCCTGTGAGCTGATGGAACTATCTCCTTCCATCCCCTCCTCCCTAGCCCTCATGACACTTGTATTCTGAAATTCAGAATGACTCTTGTTATTATTTTTCAAGAGTGGAACAGGGATGTCTATTCCTTCATGACTTTGGAATGGCCTGTAGGATAGACTCAGAATCTAACCCGCACACATTATACTTTGAAAGCATATTAGAACTACATACTAGAGCTAGCATTTAGCAGTTTACCATTCTTTTGTTTACATTTTAATTCAGTTGATCTGTGATGTAGGAGGAAAACATCTTAGTTGCAGAGAAATCTGGCAGATCTCTAGATAATATTCCTTTTTTTTTAAAGTAATGTCAATGACATAAAACAAAGAAAAGATTCCTGTGTGGATGCTTAACAAATTCACATTTTTGTCTTCCAGGAGACGGAGCTGTTAGATCTCAGCCTTGTCAAGGATGCCAGATGTGGGAAACATGCCAAAGCTCCTAAGGTAGGAAGCCAAATGCCACACATACACCAGCTGCCACTGGTTCCAGAGCTGTGTCCCCATGTCACCGGTGGCCCCAATGATAAGTTTCTCTGTCACAGTTGCTGTAACACCCTATACAATAGCCAATCCTTCCACATGTCAGCTTACCCTAAATGCTTTCATTATTATTAAAAGAAAGAAAAAGTATGGGAATATATAGGCAGTCAGATGTAGGGGCTTGCTTCATATCCTCTCATTTTAGTTTTGCTTGGGGAGAAAAAAAAATAGCATAGTCAAAATTACCAGGTAATTCTAAATAGTTACACTGTTCTAGAGTTTTTGAAAAACTCCTTGGTCCAGCTAAGCACACATGAATTGAATTTTTAGGCATGATGAATGAAATCCTCTAACTCATCACCTTTGAACCTGAATTCAATCCATCCATGAATCAAGGGCTATCAACTTTTTTCTCAAATGTATATTTGGAGGACCTGCATGCCTTGAAGTCAATTGTATGGAGTGTTAGTGTTTTGGGGTTGAAAAACTTATTGGTGAAATAGTTGAAATGGTGTTTGCAATTTATTTTTGAAGATAATTTAAAAATAGTGAATAAAGGCATATTAATAAGTATCCACAGGCTTTAATGTAATTATCTCATAGGCTGTAATGGGAAGGATGTATTGACTATCAAATTGGGAAATCACTCTTTATTTTATTTCAATTTAGTGATTTCAATAGGTCCTTTCTAGCCAACAGAATTTTGGCAAATGGGGAAGCACAGAAGCCATTTAGGAACTCTGCTTCTTTCCATAAGTGGTAAACTAGTGATTTTCTATTTGACTACCTGCTTGCAACTTTTTAGTCTTTAAAAGTCAAATTGTCTTCTTTGGCATCAAAAAGTGTCTGTTGCTGTAGAGCCATAGAAAGAAAATAATCACCTAGAATAATTTTATTCTACACATAGACTATAAGGCAGTAGTGCTGGTGAGGTCTGCCATATAAAGCAAATACTCAAATCCTGGTTTTATTACTAAAAGGGTTAAAATTATCTACAGGAAACTGAAAAAAAAAAAAGCCAGTTTCAGGAAAGTTTCTGAAACTCTTTCATGTGAAAACATCTTATTATTATGCACATCCCAGTAAGATAATGGGTTTTCAATAGTGTGGTCTCAAACTTATCATCATTAAGGCTGTGTTGATTCAAAATTGTTTACAGTCTTAAGTATAAGAAAGCATATTTTCTTCTCCCAGTTCTAAATGGAAGTTTTCCCAAAATCCAAATTTTTCATAAACCTGGTAGTTCTAAGAATTACATCGATAACATAGTTACAAAACATTTGTCTTTCAATACAAGTTTATTGGCCTCATTTGAAAGTTTAGTTATCAACATTGGCTAAAGACAGATGCCTGCATTCCATCAGAAGCCCTTTGTGTCAGATGTTCGGGAAAGGGGTCAAAGTCAGTTTCTCTGCCACATGGGGAATTTCCTTTCAAGTTTGAACCTGCCTCCTTTATTACAGTATAAAACCTGCTTATCAGTTAAATGTTTCATTTATGGATGTGGTATACTGAATGTCTATTGATTGTTGCAGAATGAGGGTCTGTACTGCACTGGATTCTAAAATACTTCTCTTGTGGACAGAGTTTGACACTCAGAAAACTGGTTTTTACTGTTTGGTCCATCAAAGATTGCTTTCTCTAGACATGTGCTGGGTTTTTTCCTCCTTCCTGTTCCTTGTTGGTGTCCAAGAACATCAATCAACTTTAAGGTTTTCAAAGCCTGGTTCTGATGCATATTACCTGTGTGACCTTCCTGAAACTCAGACTTCTTCCACATTGACGAAATGGTATTGGTGATGATGATGATGGTGGTGGTGGTGTTGTTGGTAATGATAGTACTTTCTATTATTGTAAGGATTAAATGAAATAGTTCAATAGCAAACATTTTTTTTTATTTTTTTTATTAAAAAGTTTATTTTTACATCATTTTGCACATTTTTTTTTTCATCTCAATTGTAATCCCCAGGGTTTCCCATCACCAAATCACCTCTCTGCCACCACCATAGTCCCGTGCCTGTCCCTCCCCCCCCCCCCCGTTTTTGGTCCCATTCCCCACTCCACCCCCACAGAATGTCAATGGTTGTTTCAATAGCAAACATTTAACAGAGGCATGCTCAAATTTAAGTGCTTGTGGATCAGTGGAGAGTTTTTTAAAATGCTAATGCTTTTCCCTACCCCAGAGATTCTGGTGCCACAAGAGCCTCATTGAAAAATATGATACTAGGGTTTTGAAAGGCAAATTTGCAGCAAAATTTGGAGCCCTGCTCTAAGTTATCACTACTACAAAACACTCACTAAATATTAACCACTATTGTTGGCATGATCATCATTACCTTTGTACTTACTATTATTAAAATCTTCAAGTCAGATTGGCAGAAAATCAATTTTTATATCACTTGCTTAATTTGGAAAAGGTTATGTTACACAGAAAAAAGATTGGAGGAGGGGTTTTGCTGAAAGGGGTTTTGCATATTGACAGGCAAGAAAGAAATTGCTATTAATATCAGTTTAATAATCTTTAAATTGCATAAAAAGCTACAACCCAAAGTGAGAAAAGAAAAGGATAATTCATAAAAATGACTGGAGCATATTGAAAATTTCATTGGATGGACTGGGTTATGTTGAAATCACATACAACAGCTCAAAAATATCACCAAGAAATAGGGGCCTCTTTTTCTCACCAATCTGTCTTCTAAGGGCCTGGAAGGGATCCCTTTTGCATCTTTGAGATCTTCTTGTGGCCAGCATTGCTCCATGGCAGTATCCAAAGAGAGACTAGCTTCCTCTAGACTATTCCAGAATGATTTCCTTATACCACCTCATGCAAGGAGGAAGAAACCCCACAAGCCAAAAAAAACACACATAAGTGATCACCAAGGTGGGTAGAGTGAAGGCAAGAGGACTAAGTAGAAGGTTATAAAGTAAAGATACTGGTAAACAGTGAGAGAAGCTAGGAAATGTAGGAGAGAAAGGCAAAGTGACATGAAGGCAGATTGAGTGGATGAATTTCTTCAGGGATTTCCAGAACATTTGTGAAGCTGATATTTTTCAAAATACCCAGGCACCCCACAAATATTTATCCGTGTACTCCTATTATTATTTTTTTTCACAGCATCTCATTACATAAAAATTCATGATCTGGTCGTAGATGATCTGTTTTCCATGCCCGCTGTGATTTAAAATAACAAAGGAAATAGAAAAGCACTATGTGTTGCCCTGTTAATGAATTTTAAATGTTGACTTCCAACACAATGCATACTGTTCCAGATCTGATTTCCCATATGCACCCTTTGTTCAATATACATGTTTCTAACTGGTGAGAAATTGGGAGATTTTTATCCAAATGCAAAAACTAAAGCAAACAAACAAGCACTTTATCCTTTGAAATCTGAAATTCATTTTTTTTAAAGGTTTATTTATTCGTACAGAACGGGGGGTACAGGCCAGAGATGTGGAGGGTGAGAGGATTCACCAGGGGCAGAGTGGGGAGCAGAACAGGCAGATCAACGAAGTACACTGCTGGGGAGACCAGCTGGCGGGTCAGGAGAGGTCTGCCGAGCCATGTGATCACCTCGGGGGCAGGTAGGGATGGAACTCATAGGAAAGTGGCTTAAGCTCCTTTGTGCTGTGCTTTAACTGGCTGTGCCACCAGGGAGGGCCTGAAATTCATTTTTATTTCCCTTCTTGCTGTCTTCTTCCTCCCCCTTAACTCACATTTGTGAGTTACATGTAAAGGGTGGGGCACAGTGGTTTACCATTTACACATGTAATCTATGCCATATATACTTAACTCTCTAGAAGGAACTTTGACCCAAAAGATCATTGGTCAATGTGGTGTTTGATCTATTAGTGATGCCTGACCCAGAGGATCAATATAGTGGCTCATGTGCCAATACAATGGCAGAGAATAAAAATAAATAAATAAACAAAAAAATAAATAAATAAACAAAAACAAAAACAAAAACCATTTAGGTGTATTGAAAAGTAGGTGGGGCTAAAAATGTGGAGGCTTGGGTTTGCCTGCCAGCTGTGTCATTAGCAAGCTAATGGAAGCTGATACTTTTCTGTCTATGCCTCTGTATCTTCATCTATGAAGTGGGGTTTGGGGGTACAGATTTGTAGGGGTGTAAGTGCTGTCCCCCTCGATTCCAACATTTAAAGTGGGAAGTAAAACAAGTCAAGGCACTTCATCGTACAGGTTATGAAACTGATGTCAAACAACTTACCTCAGTCAAGTGAGCCTTTTTTTGTTTTGTTTTGTTTTGTTTTGTTTTGTTTTTTTAAAAACAGATCACATTCTAACCAAAGGAGAGGTGTTTTACAAACAAAAAGAAAAATAAAGAATGAGTGACTGTCAGACTTTGCATGTGACTTATCCAGATCGGTTCAAGCACTGATTTGGACTCCAGAGGGAGCAACTGCCTGGCCTCAGACTCAGCTTTTAGTCCATGACATTCAGCTCTTAGTGATGTCATTTGAAAATATTTCTGTAATTTTACTTGCACACTGTGCTTTGTGTAAAGAAAAAAAGTTTTGCATCCTTTGCTGGCAATTAGCTAGTTCATTTTGTCTGTCAAGGACGTTTTTAAAAATATATAATAGTTTATCTTTACATCATTTTGTACATTTTTCCATCACAGGTGTAATAATCCCTGTGGTCTTCCCATCACCAAATCACCCATGTGCCAGTCGAGGGCATTTTATATCAGATGTGTGATATCACTTTGAATACCCCTTGTGAATATTCAGGTCAAGATTAAATTCTAAGTGGTATATAGCATCACCAAAACCACACAAAGTAGATTCAAGTAAATTAAATTTTAAAAATTGATCAGGTATTGTTTTCTTAGTCTTTATGTTAAAGTGGTAGCTTTTACATTGTCTCTGATGCCTTTATATTCCAGGGACTGAGGAAACAGCAAAAACACAACAAAAGACAGGTCTGCTCTCATGCCATATTC